AGGAATGCCTTGAGGGCCTGGGTCACCCTTGGAAACATATTACATTATGATTAACAAAACTGTTTAAAGTGCTTATGTTACTCATTAAGTGAGTGATGAAAATGAAATACCAGATACTAGTTATAGTAATGACAAAAAAGATTCTGCCCCTACATATTCAGCCACTAACTCCATTAAGATTTTCAGTACAATAGTCTATCAGTATGGTTAAATTTATAATAAGCTTTGATGAAATACAGTATTACTGGAATATAAATAGTGAAAGACACAGCAAGCCATAAAAATATGTTTAAAGACACACTCATTAAAAATTTACAATGGTCACTTAAATGGAAGATTGACTAGAATTACATAGTAACTAGATAAGCATATTTTAGTTGTGCTCCAATGGTGGCCAAGTAAGTGAAGAGTTACATTTGGTCAGTGAAATTCTGTCTTGAAGCCAGTACTACATTAAACAGTACTACTTTAAACAGCAATGTGCTATTTCCCACCTTGATGTGAATATGTTGGTTACTACGTATTTCCATAGTGAACGTATATGTAAACTGTTTTTTAAATTTTTTTTTGTTGCAAAAATACTAATTATTGGCTTAGAAGAATTCTCATTATATCAATGGAAGCAGATACACACAGCTCTAAAACTGGAATGTTCCAGTCTTCAAAATCCTTCTGTGTGAAACTTGCCAACAGTGATTTTATATTGCAAGTTCTGATTTAATTCTGCATGTTCTGCATGATGATTTGAAATGTGAGACTGTCAGCAACTTATCTGTCCCTTCCAATCTGCTCCCCAAAGCCACATCCTACCTTAGCACCTTCTTTTCCTGCAGCACCTGGGAGGCCTTGTTCACCTGGTGGACCAGGAGGACCTGGATGACCTCTTTCACCAATTGGACCAGTCTCACCAGTAGGACCCTAAGTACAAAAGTAAAACTTCAGACACCTCAAGGTATTTAATGTCTTAGGGGGTGAAAGTGGGTGGAGAGGAGCAGATTCTTAATATCCAGCTGTTATGAGTACCTGTTATGAAACAATATTACCATAGGTTAGCATACATTCCTCACCTTCCCTCCAGGCAAAGCTGACTTAGAAAATATCTTTGTTCTATAAAATAAATCTTGCATTGCATTCTGCCTGCAGACACGTCTGTACAGCTTCCAAAGAGTGAAATCCTGACCTTGCTCCCTAAGCAATGAAGTTTTAAAACACAGCGCATATCCATGTATGGGAGGAGGTTACGAAAAGGACATGGGAGGGAAATCCATGTACTATGCTTGTCTTGAAACACCGTACTGTTGTTTTTCTGAATAATATGAATTGGAAAGTAAGAGAGTTGAAAGATATCTCTTCAGATTCGCTAGCAGAAAACTTTCACTGAGGGAATGACCTTAAAAAAGATCATGCAATCCAAATATTTTATTTTGTTGCAAATAAATAAGATTAGATCAAATGAAACTTTGATACTGAATCTCTTCACAATCTTAAAGTGACTGAAATTTGGCCTTGGACAAGAAAGTGCCACATTGTATTGTTCTTTCTGAACTCTGCCTTCTTGACTTCTGGAAACCACAGACTTCATAATCACATGAAGAAAATACACAAAAAAGGAAGTGGAAAGGTAACCAAAACATTTGCATATTTTGTGGACTCACTTATGATTACTAATACACTTTTCTAAAATTGTTATGCATAATTTGTTACAAAAGTTAATATAACCATCAATATCGTCCTTTTAATACAACAAAAGCAACTGCCTTAGCCATAATATAACCATTAAATATCGGTCCTATAAAGTGAACTATGAAATTAAATTATGTACCTGAGGGCCAACAACACCACCAGGACCAGGAGGACCAGTTTTTCCTTGAAAACCCTGTGAAATAATTACAGAATATGATGTTACCCAGGAAATTATATAGAATAGAAAAATTCCTATCTGTGCTGAAGAGAAGAAAATGAAATTCCATATCACACGTTCTTTCTCTTCAGGAAATAAAAATGAGAAATTCTTCTTTCCTGTGTATAATTAGAAGTGAAAGAATTTGTCTTATCTCTATCAGTTCCAATCTCTATGAAGTGGTACAGCAGTAAAAATCCCAGTCAATTTTACAGATGTCTCTAGGTGAACTTGACTAGGTGGGTCTGAATGCATGAGTGATGCAGCTAACAGATAGCTGAAAATACATGTTTACATATATACATTATGAATCATAAAGCCAGACATTCAAGTGCTTTTTAAAGAAAGACATAGGTGGATTAGGTTGGAGGGGCATTAAAGATAAAGGGGAGGTTAAGACAGAAAGAAAATGAAAATAAATAGAAATCCAGCAAAGATTAAGGTTATATAGAGATGGTAAAAAAGGCAGCATGAGTGCACAAAAAGAATGAAGTTAATGAGTGTGGTGGTGCAACGCCTTCCCACCCCTTCCTCCTTGGTGATGTCAACACCAGCCAACATTGTCATTAGTTCAGGTGCAGTGGGCTGGGACAAGCTGGCACTTTCTGATCTTGCTTACTGAAGCAGTGAGTTGAGACAATCTTGTACCTTCTTGTTCTGGTACAAGCACAGCGAGTTGGGACGATTAAGCACTCCCTAACTGGACCTCGATCTCCTGCTGCCCTGGGAAACACACCCAAGATCCCTCCTGCTCAGATCACAGGGCTCTCTGAAGGTTGCCAAGATCACCTGACAAGAATTGTAGCCGCAATGGAAAAGTACTGACCAAAGCCCATTACTTTGTTTGTAGTCTCGGACTCATTAAATAGCAATCCTAAGCAAGACTCTTTGAGCTCCCTTGGATCGCAGTTGGCTGTGACCAGCATCTCCCCTGAGGCAGGACACCTCTCAGGCACAAACTCCTCAATGTCATCCGTTGACAGAGCTGATGAAAGGCCAGGCCAGTCCTTCCTGGGGCCAAATTATCACCCGTTGGGGAATGCTGATGCATTGCAAGGATTTGCTCTAAAACTCAAGAAAAGGGAAACTTTAACTATAGATTAGTATCTTACATCCACCTCTTTATATAGGGGTTTGCCTTTACAAGTGTGGGTATCTATATTTTCTGGATCCAACTATTTCTGTTCGTTCGCATGCTTTGTGTGTAGAGATATATATTTTTTTAATTTAGGATACCTTCTAGTAATTTAATTTGAGTCCTGTCATTCTCAAATCTGTAATTAAGTCGCTGCTTTAATTACAATCTATTTTTCTGAATCATCTTGTAAGTATTAAATTGGTTATTGATTAAGTATTGAAAAAACTATCTCACACTTTCAATAAATTTTAAATTGCTGCTAAATCATAACCATGTGAATATCTCATCTGCAGCAATGAGAAATTGATATGATGACAAAAAAATGGGAAGCATAGAATAGAAAGGAAATGGTTTTGGGACAGTTTTTCAGAACACTGGCAAATTTTACAGAATTTTAATTTTCTTCAGTGACTTCTGTCCAAAATTGATCAATAAGCTGAATGACAACCTCACTTTACAGGAGCACTGTTTAATGTATCTTTCAAACGTGCTAAATTATTTATTTCAAATATTGGAAGTGTGTTGCTGTATAAAGTTGGGAGAGTGCATTCACTGCTGTATCACATCACCCCTGTCTAACAGCCTATACATGCCTCCTACTCTGCTCACCTGTATAAAAACAAAGGTGTCATCTGCCCATATTCCTTGTAAACATTGGACCCTGCTCAGCATTCCTCTGGGCACGTCTCACACTGCCAGTTGCCCCATTCCATCAGATTCAGTTTATACTTCTTTTACCTTCCTCAATCTGATTTCTTGCTGCCAGCCAGATGTTAACATTGTTCAGTTTGGCTCATAACTAGTTTAGGTACCCTCTCTCAGACCTCTGAAATCATCCAGATTAAAAACAAATACAAAAGTACCCCTTTACTGACTGAAAATCAGAACCGCTACAGATGGAATCATTCATGTGTCTCTTCCTTTACACAGTCAAAGCTGCTTCTGAAGCCTATTGTAAGGGAAGACAAAGGAATGTCGAATATTAACCATTTCCTGAAGGCACCTTGAGAAGACCTGCTATTCCCAGTTTTGCAGATTGCATCAATACTTTGCAGTATTTCAATGATTCTTGATGCTAATGATGATTATACTACACTGCTTTCTCTTCTACGTCACCAGCTTAGTTATTCCTACAGATTCAGATTTGTACAATAAGTAATAAGTAAAGGACATTTCAGCAGCAAATACTCAAGATGATCTGAACATCCCATGAGTAACATTAACAAATTTACACTACTGTTTCATGCATGTGTTTTTAAGTACCTCCATCTTTTTAATTTTCTGTGAAAGACAATTTAAGAAAACTGAGTTTACTGTACTAAGAAGGCGGCCCTTGCTTAATTCTAATAAATCAAACAGCTAGTATATTTCTATTTTATCCTTTCACTGACATGAAAAGCTAAATTCTTCCATAACACCAGACAATCTAACAATCTCTGCAGCTGCTGCCTCCTGCTAATCTGAGATTGAATCACTGAAATTGATAATCACTTCTAAGGAGAAATTAGCTTAATAATGGTTTTCAGTATCTAGTTAATTCCTACATTTGTATTTCAAAATATTTAACATGATAACACTGTTTCTATGTTCAGAATTTCAGCAAAAAAATTTAGTTCTTCAAAGGGCATACAGTTTACTGGGGGAAGAAGTTATTTCAAAATATTTAACATGATAACACTGTTCCTATGTTCAGAATTTCAGCAAAAAAAATTAGTTCTTCAAAGGGCATACGGTTTACTGGGGGAAAAAGCTGCAGCCTTTTCTCCACTAATACTTACCTCAGTTGCTGCCAACATATGACTATTATTCCATAACCAAGCTGCAGAGTGCAATCCAGGAATCTGGCGCTCTCATTTGTTAAGCTTGAGTATGTCTCTTAGCCTAATTCCTTAATTGCTGTAATGCCCACATGCATCACTGAACTTCAATGAGATATACGCCCAAATAAGAAACAGGATTCTTAAGGCCCTGATTTACCAGTGAGCACAATGAAAGTTTTCTGATTTATTAATTTTTTTAAAATCTGAAATTGAAATGTTTATTAAAAAAAACCATCAACAAGTCTACATTTCGTTTTTCTGCAAAAAAATATACATGAGAACCCCTGGGGAAAAAATATTTTTAAAATAATTCTGGCCCAAGTATACAAGCAAACAAAACTGCATTTGCTCCTAAGTTACTCAAGTTTTATATCAGTCTAGCCCTACTAAACCCAAAGGAGATACAAAATTAGGGAATCAGTATTCACTGAACCCAGGGACCTGGTCCAAACACCACACAGTAGCAGAGTCATTGTTTCACTGTATTTTGCTTCTTTCATTTCCAGTCACGAGTGAAATCAAGAAATCATAGAATGGTTGAGGTTGGAAGGGACCTCTGGAGGTCGTTTGGTCCAACTGCCCTGCTCAAGCAGCGTCACTGAGAGCTGGTTACCCAGGAATGTGTCCAGATGGCTTTTGAATATCTCCAAGGATGGAGACTCTGTAACTTCCTCCTCATAGGAGAGGTGCTCCAGTCCCTTAATCATCTTAGTGGCCCTTTGCTGGCCTCTCTCCAGTAGTGCTCTCTTTCTTGTACTGAGGAGCCCAGAACTGGGCACAATACTCCTGGCCTCACCAGGGCTCAACAGAATGGAAAAATCACCGTACTGCAGCCCAGGATACTATTAATATTCTTTGCTGTAATGGCACATTACTGGCTCACATTCAAGTAAATAAGAATAAAGGGAAGATAGTAACTGTGCTTTTTCTTATCAGACTAAAGAAAGTATTTGAGCTTCCTGCATTCTAAACAATGATTCAAATTCATTCTTATGGTACACAAGAATAGTCTTTGCACCATGGCAAAGAGAAAGAACTACGAAATAGTCAATGATGTTTCTTTCACACACAAAAAAGCCACTATCATTGCAAAGCATTAGGATGCTACAGTGCTAGCAGAAAAAGACAACGATTTTCAGAATAATGTGTTATACCAAGCTCTGTGCTCTTTCTTACAGCAGTGGAAGTGACTCAGCAGTCACTGTCACTAAAAGGATCACTAAAAGAATTCCAGTGAAGTTGGAACCCAAAATACACTCTACATGCTAAGAAAATTTCTCTCTAAATTTATTTATGACTTTCTCTATCTCTAAAAAATCCGAGTAAGAATTTTATTTTATTTCAGTGGGATATGAGTAGGGTTTTGGCACTACAGAAGCAGAGAATTTTTTTAATAATTCCATTAATACCGTTACATGTTAATTTTTTCATTTTGCTAGCAGAATTTACTCATTGTGATTCTTAGGGAGATTACATAGGATACAGTTTCAAAATTTAAGATTTTTTTCACAAGTTGAATCATTCCTGATCCTACTTTCCAAAGATGTTGGCTTTTGAGTTTCCTGGCTGCTTACTATCAATAGGACTTTTTATTATGTTGTTATTTATGTTACATGGCATTCAGTGAGAAAAGAACCATATAGTAATTGCCTGACAAATCTTTATTAAAATTGAGATCTGGATATTTTCTTTTCACTTTTATTGATAATTAAGCTCATTGTGATGTTACTAACCAGGCATAGCAAAGAATAACCTCACTCTTGTAGCATAGTAACAAAATGAAGCCTTCTTATGCCTAATCTACCAACCATAAGAAAACTACAGTTATATGAGGCCTTGATTTCAGCCTCTTTCTTTTCTGTTTCTTTAGATCACACAATCACGACCTCTGGAGGTTTACAACACTAACACAGTAGAGTACATTTACTTACAGTCTCACCCCGCTGTCCTGGATGCCCAGGCAAGCCGTCTTTTCCAGGTGGCCCCTGAAATTGTAAAATACATAAATCAAAACATTTCTTAGCCATCCTTAATTCTGAAAAGAAGCATGCAATTAGGTGAAAGAATTTCTGATCTCTTTGCTTTTCTAGACTAATCTTCAGTACAGCTTAACTGCTTCTATATCAGCTAACTATGATTTTAATATTTTCCTTGTGTCCTCCTGATGTGTGTTAGCACTTACTTGGAGAGTGACTATTAGGTTGTTAAACTCATGCATGTTCAAAATGGATTTCTGTAAATTCAGAAATTGTGGAAAGTCCCTATACTTGCCTTCCATTTTTCTTTGCTTAATGACTCAGCCAACACAAAACTAAGCATTACAGGAATATTTGGTGAAATTTCAGGGTTTGGCATTGGAAATAATAATACCAAATGCATGAGTGAAAAAAAACCATAGGTGGTTTGATGCTTTTGCACTTATTCCACATGAGCAGAAACACACTTGAAGAGTAGTATAACTAGTTCAGGCTGCAGCTCAAATGTACTATTACTTCTATACATTTCTGCTACTAATCAATGTCTCCTTCCTCTTCAATTTTTCCTCATCAAATCAATTGTTAAAAGAAAATACACACCAGTAAAGAAATATTTTGCCTAAACTCAGTCTGTCACCTGGACATTGGCAACAACATGCTAGATTTGCAGTTTAGTTTGTTGAAAGTCATGAGCTGCACCAATGATCATTTTGAATATGTGAGTTCTTGTCTTAGCCTTGAAGCTCAACAAGCATATTTGTAATCTATACATAAACCATCCCTTAAATAAATCTTCAAATACTCACTTCAGAAACATTGTATGAAAAGTACCATTCCTGTTGTTGCACATACTTAATTAAAAAGGTACTTACTGGAGGTCCCTTTGGTCCGGGAAATCCAACAGGTCCCTGAGGCCCTTGTGGTCCCTAGTATAAAGGCAACCAAACAAGTGAAGCTTTACTTTAGCTGCTGTGACATCAGATTTTAAAGTCTGCTTTAATTATAAAATATATGAACTCTGTAGGTAATATCTGGTTGCAAGTATAAAGCCTAAGCTCCACGGCCATAAATATTGGTAGCGAAAATTCACATGCATTGACACTGGAGAGGATTTCCTGAAATACTGCCTGTGTAGGAATGCAGTCAGAAAAAAGAAAAACTACATATACTAAAGTTTGTCTGCATCTCACCCCTGAAACTGCACATAATAAAGTAAACTGTGAGTATGAAACATTGGTTTTTATGTTGCATAAAAAATTGGAATTAAATAATAGTCTGGTGGTCTTTTTAACTTTCAGTCCAACTTTCATCTTTGGCAGTTCTTACACTCTGACAATATTTCAAGCCAGTACAACAGTACAAACTTCCAAATAGAATAAGCTTTCCAGTGTTACCACGGGCTAAATACAACATCCCTGCTATTGTGAAAAACAGTTGAGATAGCTGAAAAAAAAAACAGGATGCATGAACGCTTTATTTATATAGTTCTGTGTATACACATATAAATACAGAGAGAAAATTTTCATGCAGCGGGGTTTTACACGTTACATGAAGTGTGCATGTATTCAGCAAGGACATGGTCTAACATAGTGACATTACGGAGCAAGGGAAAATGCACAAGGAGCTCTCTCCTAAAGAGCAAGACTTCTGCAGATCACTGAGAGTGGGTGCTGGGAAAGGATTTATAGATTCTCTACATGAAAAAGGTTAGCACATTAACAAAATATGACTACAAAAGAAAAGTTTCTTAAGCTTTGCAAAAATACTGTGGCAGAGAGCATGTCCACTTAAACTATCTCTGCAAGCTTTCAAGTGCTGCTATACATACCTGATTTATTAATATTGTTTTTCTGTATACTGCTGTGTAATGGGCTTACTGCATATTGGATTTGTGTATTGATTGCTAAGATAATAGCAAGCAGAAAGTTTTATTTTAGCAAGCACAATAGGCTTTCTCAAGCATGCAGAAAGTAGGTTGAAGGGAATTCTTAGCTGATCAGAACAAAAAAAAAAATCAACTGTTTCAACAAAGAACCTTCTGGAGGTGGCTTAAGTGATTTGCAAATCCAATAAAGAAGCAGTACACTGCAGTAAATAAGCCATTCTTAAGAGCACAAGCTAGTTAAGTACAACTGTAATTTGCGTGGACATATACAGAACACATGGATATAATACAAAGGACGTATGCAATCTCCGTGTCCTATACGTATAAAACTGAGCTACAGAGGGAAGAAGTTTTCAGCAAACTTCAGCTGCCCCATTCATAGCTTCATGAAAAGCATCATTGGAATTGAGGTTTTGTTAGTTCTGGTTACTCTGGTTGAAGAAGGGCAAAGACATGAGAGGGAGAACTAAAAACAAACCTCCCACCCTCAAATCACAATCCTACAGAGTGGGAAAAACAACATGTACATAAATAGCTTTCACATACCCTTTCACCTGGTGGGCCAGGAGGACCATCATTGCCTGCAGTACCCTGGAAAGGAAAGACAATATGATCAGACCTCTATTTTATTTAAAAAACCCAACCTGTAGCCAGTCTATACAGCATGCCTGACAATTACCTTTGGACCTGGTTTTCCAGTGGGACCTCTAGGACCTCTTGAGCCTCTTGGACCCTGTCAATTTAACACAGATGCACTTGATGATAATTACTGGATACTATAATCAAATCAAAATAATTATTCACAGTATAGTGGAGGCAATTAATATAAGAAAGCCTCTAAGTTGCAAAGCAAAAGTACATACTGTTGGTCCTCGCTGTCCCCTGGGGCCTGGTTTGCCATGTAATCCCTGTAGAGAAAAGTTCATGGAAATCATCTTAGCAGATACAGTATTTGTTAGATAAAGTGTTTTTTACTGAAGTGGGGGCTAAGTCCAACTCTCTTAGGTTTAAATGTAATTTTATCTTTAAGTATCTACTTTGTATTTCAATTTACAGAATTGTGGTCCTGGATAAAACCAATTATCTTTCTGAGTTTGCTGGGACTTGTAGCTGAATGTGCTAAATTTGCCTCAGAGTCAGATTCTGTCATAGGCATTAGAACAATTTAAACTACATTAAAGTAATGGTAAAGATGGCACACAACAAGCAAAAGCCCCTCTGCATTAGTCTAAAGGACTTGGCATAATTTCCAATGTAATAATAACCTTGAAGACAACGTTTCCAGGTTCCTGTGGACAGCTCCACAGGTTAACAGAGAAAAGGAATGCCAAGCCACTCTTTTTTTATAACAGAAATAGGGACTGTAATACCTACCAGGATTCTGCACACTTGCACAGAGATACAGAACTTGCCAGAATACTACCCCTTAATTTTTTGCCTCAATAGATCTCCTAATCATGCTAAAGGTATTTCTTTCCTTAGGCTCTGCTTTAGTATTGCTGTGCATTCTAATGCAAAGAAGAGTAAAATTCAAGAGAGTATTTTTCAGGTAGAAAGAGGAACCTGATGACTGGTACTTTCTAATCTCTGAGATAAACACAACAGCAACAGAAAACCAGCAGAGATGTTTTAGCATAAAGCTTGCTATTGTTGGAAACTAAATGCACACAACTATTTTCTTGAGGGTTTTCTTGTCGGTTTTTGAGGTTTTTATATTGATTTCATTTCACTTATCAAAATAAAAATTACTTGTTCTTAAAACGCTACACAGCTTGTGAACTTCTCAGGGACAACGACTGTCTTTCCTAGTACCAGTATGCATGGCAGCATAAAACACAATGATATCCTTTTAGACAAGATTCTTAATAATACCTGATTCACATTACAATACCAGCAGTTATTGTCTCATTGATGACCAGTATACATGCAATTTGATGGCATTAATTATGTGGTTAGTACCCTGGCTGAATTGAAAGCTTTATGAAGGCCTGATAATGGATCAATATAATTAGATTTTCATAATTTTAAATCTGCTTTTTGATGTTATCATTTTGCAGGGTTTATTAATTTTATTAATCTTTATTAATGTTTATTGGCATTCATGTCACATTTTTCCAACAATGATGAACTGAACATTGCTTGTGTCTGTCCAAAGCAACATATCTTTATCTTAGCTGAAATAATACAAGAACAATTTAAACTATAAATAAGCAATGCAAATGCAATTTGATTTCATGTATTTCATCTTAAAATCGTGAATTTCTGCTTGTTTTCCTGCTGCAAATTAAAATGGATTTTTAAGAGCAATGGTATACATTACTTCAGTTTGACTTTAAGTTGCTATCTTCTATGAATTCTGCCTCATGCTCTTAATTTCATTATCTTTCTAACACGTTTTGCTATGTTCAACTAATATTTAGAGACAACAGCAGTGACCTTCTTTCTAACTTATATTCCATTTGTACAGTTTGAAAAATACATATAATAGATTTTCCCTCACCTGCTTCAAGTGAACAAAGCAGCAAAAGCTGTCATTTTACTTCTGTTTTTTTTTAATATATGTAATAGTACATGTCCTTCATCTTGTCTGCTATATTTTGCATTTTTGAAGCACAGCTTATAAAAAATCTTATGGCAAATCAGAATACTTATGAAATACAAGTTGAATTTCGTTGAGGATAAATTGCATGGTAGCAGGATAATTCAGCGGATACAGGAAAACAGTACTTGCCAACTCACTCAGCTTTACTGTCAAAAAAGATGCTTCAGCAAAGGTGAGTTCTTTTCTTTTTTTCCAAATATATAATTATGGTAGCACACACAGCAGGAAAGTGTCTGAGTTCCTGTATATTCAGATTAATACCTTGAATAATGAGAACTAGTGTCTCAGTATGTCCTGTTCACATAACTGTAGAAGTTCACCTTAAGTGTGAAAAGCCTTCTTATAGTTCTTTAGACAGTAGCTTGTATCCTTAGGTTTCAGTGAATTTCTATAGCACTGTGTTCCAAAAGTTAACTGTCATGCAAGCATGAATTATCGTACCCTTGCACCTTTCTCTCCATTGGCACCTGGAAATCCTGGGAAACCAGTTGAGCCCTATGTAAGAAAGCAATGCAAATATTAGAGGATATTAACAGCAAAACAGCAGTGTAGCCAACATTTAATTGATAAGTTAAGTAATGTACACTGTACACAACAAACTTACAAGTGTGAGAGCTCTGATGAATAGCTGTAAATTAACTTACCGTAATGCTTCAAGTCCAGAATGCATTTTAAAAAAATCAATGTACAGAATGGACATTATTTTTCATCTTATTAGACAACAAAGTATTCATTAAATCTGCACCATTTTTAAAAGTAGGAAATAAATTATCAGTAACAGCCCATTATAAATAACTGTATCATAACAAAGAGGAACAAACAAGGTCTTTTTGCCTCACAGTATAATTATACTTTTACAAAATACTTTTACAATTCAAAATAATTGTAAGGTATTGCCACATCTGAACAGTGGTGTGGTCCTCTATTCACTTTACTGAGTTGTAAATGACTTCAGGTGCTTCATTCACTGTAAGCTGACCACTGGCCAGTTTCTTTTAACTGCTATGTGCAATTTATACATGTGCTTAAATGCTCAACTCATAAGAAGAATTCATGAGGAAACTATCTGACTTGAAACTGCTCCAGGCATTATTCCTGCTTCTCCTTCTGCTAACTGCCCAGTCTAGTCTGAACAGTTTGATTTTCGTCTTTATTTTTAGTATGCAGATCCAGAGGGACAGCAAACCTGTTACCTGCTAAGGTGTTAATCTGGCACAAAGGACTGGGGGTGAAAGAGGTGATAGACTCGATAAAATACACTTTTAAGTGATTGGAGATGAAAATCAAAGCAGTGTTTGGTTTGGTCAGCCACTAAAACTACAGGTCAGTCTCCCTGCTGTGATAATACATCTATGTCTGTGCAGCTTGCTGTTAGTATTTTAGTGGCAAATAAAATAACAAAAAAACTGAAAAATTAATTTCTTGGTGCTCTTTGACATGTCAATAAGTATTTTTTTCTTTTTTCTCTTTTTGTTACATTTTTCCTTTAATGAATCTTGTTTCACACAATCATTCCAATTATCCATTAATGACTTAGAGGCAGTATAACTTCACTGACACCGATTCCATTGAAACCCTGACTGCTATTCACTGGCAGGAGAAGAGTAAGAGATTTTCTTTTCTTTTATCCTTTCTTCCTTTCTTTTTCTCTTCCTTTTTAATTCTTCACCAGTTATATCTTAAAATGTGAATAAAACTGAAAATTCTACTCTGTGGAGCCTAAGCATGTTCTTTATAATTAAAAAGCCAGAGGAAAAAGCAAAGTCTAATGCTAGGGCATTAATAGGCGAGACTTGGTTGTAAATATCTTAATATCTTACTTTTTGCAATTGTGTTAATAAAGAGAGACTGGATAGGAGAAAAAAACATAGTGAAAATTATCAGATAATGGCAGTACTTTAAGAACAATTCTGAGAAGAAAATAATGAAAAACAAGTAAGTAACGACAAAAAGAACAGTGTGAACCTTCTCAAGAATACTGGGACAAGATTTCTTATTTGCTTTACACAGCTAATTCATTTTTCTGCTGCTTCTTTTTTTCCTTTCTCCCTTATGTTAATTTGAACTGGACTGTGACTAAGTTTCAAAACTAATCTCTAGGGAGTTGATATATTGTAGCTGTCACTACTCTTTCTTGGAAATTTAAGCAACAAATTAGAAGAACAAACAATGAATGCAGCTTGAGAGTTATTTTCAATTTTAATGTGATAAAAATTTAATGTAATGAAATTCTTGGTCAGTTCTTTGCTGAAATAAAAAGAATCAATCAACTTTTATTTAAAGTGTTACATAATTTTTGTTAGAACTGAATAATGTAAAAATTCTTTCTAAAGGAGAACAAAAAGAGAGACTGAAATCTCAGACACTTCAGCTAAGAAACAGAAGCAAAAAAAGCATGTCTCAAGATGAATAGTTTTCATGAACAATTTCTAGGGCCAAAGTATAGGCCAAAGTCAGAAAACCACTTTGCTTAGCCACCCAGGAAGTTGTATTTCTTCCCAAAAAAATCCTAATTTCAAGTTTGAAAATAAAAATTTTACTGCACGTTGATTGTTCAGCTATGTAGAAGGGGTAAGGGATTCTTTTACTTGCGGTATTTCCCTAGATGAGTCATCTTTGAACCAGTCTGGAGATGCAATGTCTCCCTAATGGCCTATTCTACACTGGGGAATGTCTGTAGAATTATGGTTTTTATTCATTTTTTTCTTGCTTGCTAATCTCAGAGAAGAAAGCTTACAATTAATTTGGCATGCCCATTTCCTAGAGCTGTATTAGGACAATCTTTTTAAAAATATGCTTCATAGAAATGTTCTAAAAATAGAAGCCTTCACTTAAACCAGAAGCCACCATATAGATGGTTTTCTGTTGCAATCAAAACAAAAATAGCTGAAGGATAGGTTTATGGGCACATAAATCAACTAAGGTTGGGTTTTGTCATGTTTGTCTTAACAGAAATAAAAGGAAAACATGATTAAAATTCTAGATTATATATTTCAAAGAAATATGCTTTATTCTATGGAAGAAGCAGTAATGACACAAATGGAATCCTTTTACCACATGGAAAATTCCCATCACTATCAGCATCCATTTAGTGGTCAATATAGTGCTCATTCTCTTTCAAGCATATCAGCAGTTCTTTTGTTTTCAAATTGTTTAATGCACGCCAGTCTGATGCTTACACAAAAACACAACTCATGAGAGGATGGCAAAGGTCTGAAGGCAGCATAGTTAAGAAGAGGAAAGATAGTGCTCCTTAATAAGCTTGCCTGAGGGAATCCAACGCTTTTAAAGATTTTACTTCAGAATGTGATTGTCAAGAAAGGAAACGTGAAAAATGGCCCTTGCTTTGATGCCCACGCCCCGCTTCCCCGAACACAGAAATAAAATAACTGCCATTGTGACTAACGTCAAAGCACAAGATACACAGCTCATTTACAGCTCACCTTTGGACCTTGTCTTCCTGGATATCCTGGCAATCCGGGTACACCGAGCTTACCCTGCAATAAGAACGCAGCGTTAACATTTATTCTCTCGTCCTTAGTGGTTCAGCGAACTTCTACAGAAAATATTTTTTCCACAACTTAGAGTGATGATACTTCATGGAATATAATATTAAATTAAATCAATTTCTCATTTTTACTATTAATCACCAGTGGGCTTAGGTCCCCAAACTTAAATAAAAATCCCAATCCGATGAATGAGTTCAGCAAAGTCAAGAACTCAGTGTCTTCTTTCTTTTCCCCCCATGAAGTGCTGTGTAGTGGTGTGGGACTGAGGTCATTAAACTACTAATATTCTCTAACTAATGAGGGTGTTAATAAATTTAAGTGAGAAGAAATCCTTTTTAATTTATACTGTGTGACGGTGCTTTGTTTTCCAGAGATTGTTCATAGAATCATAGACTGTTTTAGGTTGGAAGGGACCTTTAAAGGTCATCTAGTCCAACAGTGGACTAGATGTCCTGTTCAGTGAGCAGGGACAATCTTTAGATCACGATGCTCAGAGCCCAGTCCAACCTGACCTTAAATGTTTCCAGGGGTGGGGCTTCTACCACCTCTCTGCACAACCTGTGCCAGTGTTTCACCACCCTCATTGCAAAAATTAATGAATAGGCATTTGAAGAATCAACATTTTCTTGAATAGTTCTAAAATGTTTGAGACCATGATAAATCATACCCTAGTGACTACTTGCAACTTGCTATTTTCAGAAAGGACAACAGGATGAGCAGTTTGATCAACACTGATATTAACCATTCCTAGAAACTAAATGGAGTCTCCTACCCCATTGAGTTATCTCTTCAGACCTCTAGAGGACAAGTGATGGTTTGCTGCTTTCAAAGGCAAGAGAAAACAGCTTCAGCCTTTGAAAGATGAGAACTCTGGGGAGGAAACTGCCTATTTGCCTGTGCTCCAGACTAACACATTTTGGAGAAGATCTCAATGGAAAAGATATGATTTTACAATATAATGTGGTCCTTTGCAGTAACCTTAGATAATGAAAGAGACGAAGGAGAAACCTGTATGGGAAAGGAAATTTGCCAGAATAAACATGCCTACTTGTAAAAAATGCAACACATTAATAAATCTGTGTATTCATGTAAGTGCATGTGTCTGGCTGAGACACTATTAAATAGGTATTCTTCCATTTTTGAAAGTAATTGTAAGACTGCCAGTTATGTGCCACACTGAAACAAGCTGCACATATTACAATGATTACAACATTTTACAGCATGACAGTGCATCAAACTCTTGCCAAATTCAGTGAAAGTTTTGTCCTTGGTTTGATGATTAAGCAAGCCCAGTTGCCTACGTTTTGAGTGTGGTATAGATGTTTTTCAGATTATAAGCTCTTTTCTGATATGTTCCTCATTTTGTGTCACCATACTTGGCATTTTCTCTACTAAGCAAATCCAGCCCTAGACCTACTTGGGAAAGAAAGTTTCCTTATTATGGGATCATCTGAACATAGAGAATAAAAGACTACTCTGGTGCTTTTATTACTATGGAAGAGTAGTACCTTTACATTAAATAAATCATAGGCATGTCAAGGGAATGGGACATTGATGACTGGCCTTTCAGGCGCTTCCCTAGTAACGTGTGGACATGTAAGACTTTACAAAGATTATTCTAGTCTTTGTGCTAAAATAAATGTCATAGGACGAACATCATAGAATTCTTCTCTGACCTGCTCTGTTTTGGCCAAGTATCCACAGAATATCCACAGATGATGTTTGACTTTCAATGGGTAAGAAAAGGTCTAAATATTTGTAGAAAAGGGAAAACTTTTGGTCCAATATTACAAGCCCAGCTAACAGCGTTATCAACACCAATAAATTTTTCAAATATCTTCTGATATTTAGGGCTTCAGATTCTGGACTTGTGAGACTGTGAGAGACCCATATATGTCATAGTGAAGAAGAAATGTTTGAAAACATGAACCTATATTCACATTGAGTAATATGAATAAGAAGAAATAAAAATGGCTTATATTTAAAAACTAACAACTATAAAACAAAATTTGGTTTGGTTTACTCAGTGTTTTTACTTAGGTTATAAAGACTTGAGAAAGACGATCTATTTTGTAGTATTTAATTCTGAGTTCATAAACTATTCTGCAGGTATCATGACAACAATACAAATTGTTGGGAGAACTCTAATATTCTTACATTTTTGTCAGGTGATACTGAAAACAACCATCACCATGAAACATACAGTTCTTTCCGGAGAATACAAATATATTGAAGGTGAAGAGAATATGATCCTTATTACAGCAGGCTGTTTTGTTGATCTAGGTAAAACCAAGTACAACTGGCTTTCTGGTGTGAACTCAGCTTGCATTCATGTAAGAGGATAGTTCCAAGTTGGTTTTTTTTAATATGTTCTTTGATTCATCACCTGCTGAATCAATTCAATGACCTAATAGCTGGTGAGGTATCTCACAAAATTGTGGAGAACAGTAATTCACAGATAATTCGCAATAGTTAAGTAAACTTGAGAAGAAATCCTTTTTGTAATGAGTGAACTGAGTTTTTGGATGTATGCTTTTCTAAGAGTTTATGAATGACATTATCCTCAGACTATAAACCTGACATCCTTCTGAAGTTCTGTTGGTGACATACTTGCAAAAAGTTTCTTTTAATGAAAAGAGAGTTTGTTGAATAATTTTTTTTTTCCTTTCTGGCAAAACTCTTAGCTATGAACCTTGTTGCCTCTTTAGTGGTACCACATACTTATTAAGATTTCAGCATATTCTTTCAAAGACTGTATATAGATAAGGACAGAGAATAATTAATCATGATGTCAGACAGGATGTTGCTGGAAAATACTGTTTCTACTGCAAAGATGGCAAAAGTGAGAAATAAATGTAAAATGCACATTCTGTCCTATTCAAGACAGAACTAGCATTAAAGCCACAGTTAACCAAAATATTTGT